AAAAATAACTAATTAGAAAAGGTATAATTAAATGAAACTTCAAATACAGTGTACACAAATATATAGTTATTAAAATTTTGCATTTTCCAAAACAATTATACAAACAAATTTAAATTTGTTTGTATAATTGTTATAGATTGTTATTATTGTTATTAATTGTTATTATTTATAGACAATTTCTACACTAAAACTGTAATAAAGATTTAATTTTAATTTTTAAGCAAATTTTATGATAAAACTTTACAAAAGATTTATTTTAAATGTTCAGGCAACTTTTACGCTAAACCTGTACCAAATATGTAATTTAAATATTCAGTACAGTTTTACGCTAAACCTGTACTAAATACGTAATTTAAAGATTCAGTACAGTTTTACGCTAAACATTTACTCAATTGCGGACATTTACATATTTACACAACCTGTGATAAGCTTTACGGTAAATTTTTCCAACTTGGCACGCATAGCTTTAATACAGGTTTAGGAAACTTTCGGTGCTGTGTGGGTAATAAGACATTAAAAAAATGTCTATAGTTTCGTAAAGAAAATGTAAAAAAAAATTGTAAAGTATCATCCTGTATCGATAAATCTAAAAATATTGAATTCTGTCAAGTAAGCACAATGTTAAATTCCTTGTTTTTGTTTTAAATTCTTAAATATTTTTTTCCAATTCTACATAGAAAAAAACATTTTTTCTTCTAACAATTTATTTCAAAAACAAATTTTTCTTAAGTTATTGTCAGTTTTTTTAACAGTTTAACATATCTTCGATAAAATTTGTCGTGTAAAATTTTTTAAAAAGTTGTCTTTAAGGGTATGTGCGCATAGGTCGTTTTTTTGTGCTTTGAAACTTTCTCTGAAATAAAAAATGATTTCGGGTTAAAATTTTGGAAAAATGATTTTGTTTGGTACAAGGAATCTCGCTGTTCTAATCATTTACCATAACTTAACGCAAAAATAATAAAAATAAAGTAATAAATAGTAAAATAATGTATTTAATCGTAGTTCATTTAGCGGCCACTAGCTCAAATTGGCGCTGTTTAAAGGAGCACTGAGACACTCAAGCAACGTCCGTGTATGCGCCGCCATGTTTCTTTTCATTTTTGTTTAAAAATCACACTTTTTAAACATCATTTTTTAATAATTTTACTCAAAATTATGTATTTTTCGGAGAACAGCGAGATTCCTTTCACCCTAATCTATCAATCCTCAAAATTTTAGACAAAAATCTTTTCTCATTTTAAAGTGAAATGTATACTACCAAAACACATTTTCCCATACTTAGTCACGTAAGAGGTTCCCACATACCCTTAAGGTGATAAGATACGTTTTTAGTTGAAAATTTTTGTAATGTCTTTGATGATGTAGGATGGGGAAATCTTGTTTAGCAGAAGTGTGAGTATATACTTACAAATCTGGATTTGCCATTTTTATCAACACTGTGTGTAATTGATGAAGAAGTACGTGGATTTTGATAAAATTTTAAATTCATTTGTTGCATTACCTAAAATCATATTGTGATTATTGCGATCCTAATTTTTAAATATATGTCACATGCAAAAAATGGTTCGTTTTAATTAACCGAACTGGGCTTGGTTGAGCAAATTTCGGTTATATTGGAAACAAAGGGCAAATTGTTTCAACCGAACTAGTATGGTTGCAAATGTAAATGTTTTTCGGTTATTACAACCAAACACATTCATTTTAAATGCATTACTTTATGTTTATTGCTAATCAAAATTCAAAACTTAAAACTGTCAATTCTTGAAAAAATATGGAAAGATTTTCTAATTTTTAATTAATTTGTAATTTAATTCATTATTATTTAATATACTATATAATTATCTTTAGAAAATTTAACATTTTTAATGAATAATAATATAGCTAGTAGGCTTACTGATCCTATTGTTTAACAATTTTTTTGATTACACATTCAAGTATACAAAAGAATTAAGACATCAATATTATGTTTAGTTTAAACAAACGACCAGATCAGTTGATTTAACCCAACTAAATACAAACGAACTTGTTCGGTGACTTGACATTTTTTTCCGTGTCACTAAAAGAAGTTATCGTGAAATACTGCGACGAAATGATTTTATGTTAATACGTACTTTTGGTTGATATGTAAACATCACATTGTTTTTTACATTCCTGACAGTATAAACTTTTGTCTTTGAGCCAGCAATGAATCTGTCAGTAGGATACAAATAAAATTGAATCAGTTGACGTCTTTTCTGCATTTGAATTGTTAATCGTTTGTTTTTGTCATCTCTTTTGTGACGAATTTGCACCACCTCATAGTCTGATGCCAGATAATTCAATAAAAATTTTAATATTTTAGAATAATGCAGTTAAAAAAATTGTAATTGTGCGTTTTTAAAAATAAATAACATGACATGTACATATAAATTATAAATATTGGTCCGGATAAGTTAACGATGCCTTCGAGCCGATTTTGCCGAATTTAAAGAAAATTAATAATTGGTATAAAATTCGATTGAAGTTATTATTAATAAATAATGATATAAATATAATTTACTTTTCGGGTAATTCAACTCTTTTCTTTTCTTTTTACATATACATGTATGTCAATTATTTTTTTTATATAAAAAGATCAAATAAAATTATTTAAACTCAAATAATTACCATCATCGACAATAAACGATTGAGTCAAGGACACAAAAAGAATGCCAAATAATATAATGAAGTAATTCATCTGAAAATGTTTAATTAATAAATAAATTACATATTGTTTGCCATGTCTCAAAAGTGAGATTTTTTATACATTATATAAAATATTTTAAAATAAAAAAATTTTTTTTTATTAAAAATTCTCAATAGATATAATAGCCCCCGGAATCGGTATAATTATACCCCCGGTTGATAATAATTCTTTCTGAAATTTTTAACATAGTTTATTGAAGTACAAAAGGGTTTAGTAAATAAATTTATAATTTTATAAATAGTTTATCAAAATTAAAGTAAAAGAATAAAACACATCTTACCTTTTCTATGCAGTGTTGAAAGTCACTGTTAAAACTTTGAATTTTGACTAATTTTATTTGACATCGTTGCTTATATATATGTATATATACGGAAAGAGAGAGAGAGAGAATTCAGGGGCAGTGTCCAAGTTAGCCCCCTGAGGGCCTAAGCAGCGTTCTCGGGCCTAATGACATTTTTTATGAAAAATGGGCCCCTAATGAGTTTTTCATGAAAATTATAAAATTTTTTAATATTAACAATTTTTAATTTTTTTTAACATATTCACATTCCTCATAATTTCACGATTACGAGCATGTGTTGTCCCAATTAAAAATGTTAATATTTAAAATGTTTATAATTTTTATTGAATTATGTCGCCTAAATCCCCCAGTATCGATCTAATCATGATACCGAATAACTTTTTTAATAAAAATTAAATCTTTTCAAATATCAACATTTTTACCCCTTATTTTTTTGCGATTCAGACATATTTTTTTTTAAAAAAATGTTGAAATTTAAAAAGTTTTAATTTTTTTTTAATCACAATTTATCCAGGCTTAGGACTTTTTAAATTTCAACATTAAAAAAAAAAAAAATTATGTCTAAATCGCAAAAAAATGAGGGGTAAAAATGTTGATATTTGAAAAGATTTAATTTATATTAAAAAAGTTATTCGGTATCATGACTAAATCGATACTGGGGGATTCAGGCGACATAATTCAATAAAAATTATAAACATTTTAAATATTAACATTTTTAATTGGGACAACACATGCTCGTAATCGTGAAATTATGAGGAATGTGAATATGTGAAAAAAATTAAAATTTGTTAATATTAAAAAATTTTATAATTTGCATGAAAAACTCATTAGGGGCCATAAATAGAAAATGTCATTAGGCCCGAGAACGCTGCTTAGGCCCCCGCGGTGCATGCGTGCCCGGAAATGAATTCTTTATTATTTTCCAGTGATAAGATGATTTCCTTAAATAATTAAATATTCATTATTTATCTATAAATTTATTTTACAATTTGTATTCACGGAATAGTACCTAATATTGATTTTGTGATAAATTTTTGTAAATTAAAGAGTATAAGCTTTACGACTAATTTAAGGTGTTTAGACAGATTAAACTAATAGCATTATTATTGTTAAGATACGTGATCGCTATAAGGTTAATTTTTCAAACACATTTCTCCAAAAATACTAAATAAACACAATTTATATTTGGTACAGAATTCTAAAACCATTGGTTCAAATTTTCATGTTAACAAATTTTATTCGATTGGGAGGATCCCAATGTGACCTGTCAAAAAAATCAATTTTTTTTTGTATTTTTTTATAGTTTAGGGATTTAAAATTAATATTTCATAGGTGTTTCAGGCGAAATGTACTTGGTTCATTGGAAATAACGAATCTAAGTAGTAGTATCTAAATAGTACAACACATTTTTGGTTATTGTTTTTTTTTTATCAAAAATGATTTTTAAACTTATCTGTCCACTGATAAAATTAATTATATTTCAATTAGAATTTCTTCGAAAGTCATTATTTATTTAAAAATATTTACCATCTTTGGAAACAACTCTTATTGAAATATGATAAATTTTCTCATTCCCACTATTTTGTAAAAAAAAATCTTGAAAAAACATGCATTTACAACACAAGTTTCCCGCCTTAAACTTAAATGATAAAATTAATATTTATTTGATTAACCAACTTTCTCACTGGAACTATTTAATTTTATAAGTTTAATTATACTGATAGTATAGTGGAAGAATAAATACGTGTAAATATACAATGTTAAATATATGTATTTAAAAGTGATAAACTCTGGAAATTACGAAATGCTGTAACGCTACCCTTGTTGGATTGACATTAGGTACACATTATAAAGCAATTCACTATAAAAAAAGTGATTAATAGATAGAAAATGATGAAAAAAAATATTTTGGAAAGGGTAAATGGGAATCTGTAGAGTTCATTCTAACAAGAATTGCAATAAATAAAGCAGTAATTTAGCCAAAAAACTTTTTATTTTAAAAAATAAAACAAAACAAAAAAATTTAATTAAATTTTTAAACAAATTATCATCAGGTATGCTCTAAAACCATTTGCAAAATGCTCTTAGTATTTTCATGTATGTAAAGTCGATGAAAAACGAAAACAACTGTTTGTTAAAATAAATAGAAGTTATTGAAAAATTCAAACGGTGATGTCATTTCTAACCTCACACTTTCTAACAATTTATCAATGTTTTATCATAATTAGTTAATGAAATATCAACAATTTTGCAAGACAGTGCCCTTATGCTTCTAATATATTCTCATTCGAAAAGTTCTTGCGTATGGTGATTATTACACGAATTTCTATCCTTTTTTGTAATAAACGTCTTTACACGGATGTACATAATTTAATAAAACACTTTGCGTCCATATTTATCCCTGAAAAATAGAAAAATAATTTCTGTTATTATTTTTCAGTTTTTATTAGATTTTTCAATAAAAATTTTCAACCAGGAATAAAGTACCAGAGGACAAAAAACATTAATGTTCTAGATACGTCCCTAAAACATTTTGGAACGTTTTATGTTCTTAAAATATTTTTGGAACATAGAACATTCTTTATACAACAAAATTTTTTGAAACTCTACTAAACACTGAATTTGATAAAAATAATAATTATATATTTATTGAATATCATTACCTTTGCTTTTTTCTTTTACACTTTAAATTCACATCGTCCTGCTATACAGTACTGAAAAATAAAATTTAAACAATCAATAAATAAATACTGATGCACATATTTAGGGTTAAGTTCACTTATTTTCGCACAAAATCCCACAAAATTGAATTATTAAAAATTCAAATATACCTTGCCAGGAGCACAATAAGATCCCTCTGCTGGAGGTATATTATATGTAGAATAGCTCAATTGTCCATACTTATTTGTTATGCTGCAGTATAAGTCTAAACAAGTTGTCCTTATCTACGAAATCACATTAATAACAAAATAGAATCATTGATAGATGAAATTATACAAAGTTTTTTATTAAAGTTAAAGAAACTTACTAATTCACATTGATGGTATCCCATTTTTTGGCATTGTTCATCTAAAGACATTATTTGACCGGGTAATAATCTCCGTAGTGGATAGTTATCTTTATATTTTGCCGGATTATTTCGAAGGCATTTTGTAGAATCTTGACTGTAGAAAAATTTAATTTATTATAGGTATTCACAATTTTAAATCAGTGTGTTTTCACTTTTATAAATTGTTAAATTTTAGCGATTTCATATGAAATTGTTGAAATTTAGCAACTGAATCTCTTCACTAACAGTTTTTAAAATGTTAAATTTTTCTCTAAAATGATCAAAGAAAGATAAATTTTTAATTTAAAGTATAAAAATTTGTGCAATTATAATTGTAAGTCAAGAAATATTTTTTCTATTTGAGTATAACAATAATTTTAAATTAAGTTTTACTTCTTTAATTACTAGTGATAAATAATTTATCTGTATTTAAGAATTATATTTTTATAAAAAAAAATTAATAATTTCAACTTCTACTTATAAAACTTTTGACGTTTTAAGTGTTATTGCAAAAATTGTGAAGCATATTCGTTAATTAGAAAAAAATTAAACTATTTAATTAAAATTAAAAAAAAAATATAATTTTTATCAATTTTCACCAATGTCAAGAATGCTATTCATATTGACTAATAATCAACAATTTTTTTTTTTTTTTGGGAGAAAGAAATATGTTCATTATAATTTTTGATCATTTTCACACGGGAAAAAATTTTGCGCAAGAGCTGTACTGCCTACTGTGCAGCTGCAGCTCTGTACTTTGTGGGTTTCCGCGAGCTAGTTTATGGGTAGGAGCTGACCATGATTTGACGGCAGCTAACCACAGCTGGGCATGGACTGTGCAGTCCTGGACAGCGCGTGCAATAATCATGGATAGCACGTGTCCACAGATACGCAAGCAGCAGCTACTTTCACTTTTGTACAAAGCGTGACCACTAGTGGGCAGCTCATGCGCAAAATTTTTTCCCGTCCACGAATATTTTTAATGATATTCATAAATTTTTAACGCACCTTAAGGTATGAACTATAGCTTTTACAGAACAAGGAGAAAAAAAAATCTTGTTTCTATTATATTTATTGTAACTCATGATGTAACCTTTCTTATTAAGGCAACGCATAGTATTAGAAGGACCATTGTAGTTTGAATATTCCTCATCATGTGGTGCACCAAGGCTAAAGAAAACAATTTTTATAAATTTTATGTATAATTTTACACCTGAGTACAAAGATAAGATTTTAATCTATTTAAATTAATTTTTTTTTATTTGTGAGATTTTTGTATATCGCTTTTTAAAAATATTTTTAAAATAATCCAATTTAAATGATTTATGGCTTATATTTTCTAGAAAATAATGTTCCACATCTTCACTTCAGGAATTTTTAAACAAATTCGTCGTTTTTTTAAAAATATTGTTATTTGTTTAAGGGAAGTGAAAATATTTTTTTAACCAAATAACAATATTTAAAAACAAGTAGGGGGTCCTTTATGTTTATTTCATAAACATTATGCTTCCTCATTGTGTGAAGCAAAAAATTCGCTTCCTCGTGAAGAAAGCAATGAATTTGTCCAATTCAATTGATTGATTTAAAAACTTTCGAATTAAAAATGTTTTAAATTAATTAAATTTTTTGAAAAATAAAGAAAATTTTAATTAATTTTGAGTGTAACATAAACTTTATATATACGAATCGATTCGTTTTAATGCAAGGAATACAATTATTTTATTCATCAACTTGAATTTAAAAAAAAACACAAAATTTTTTAGCTAAAATATGAATTTTCGATTTTTCAATTTTTATTAATTCTTAAATTTTAAATCAAATCTATACTTTATATATACCAACCAATTCGTTTCAATGCAGGGAATAAAATTATTTCATATATAAACATGAATTTAAATAAACACATAATTTTTTAGCTAAAATGAGAATTTTTGATTTTTTAACTTTCTTTAATTCTTTAAATTTCAATCAAATCTATACTTTATATATATCAATCGATTCATCTTGACATAAAGAAGACGATTATATTATATATTACCTTAAATTTTTCGATTTAAAAATTTTTTCAATTAAAAAAAATTTTTTGGAAAAAAGACGATAAATTTTTTTTTTGGGGTATTTTTAAAAATCCTCTCGTCATTTTTGAGAGATTAATGTGTTAAATAAGCCTACCAAATTTTATCCAAATTCATTAAAACCTGTTAAAGATATCGTGTTCACAAAAACGATCCACACACACATACACACACACACACACACACACACATACACACACACATACATACATCCGGACAATTGATCAGGATCTCATATAACATGTTTCTATATAGAGGAAAATTTGTTTTCACCATTTTTAAAAAGTTTATAAACGAAAGGATTACATAGCTTCCTCCACGAGGAAGCAAAAACGGTGCATTGTTTATAAATCTCTGTGATGAAGAATTATTTTCTGAAGAAAATAAGCAGCGTGAGATACAGAAATACAGCTGAAATTATTATAATAAATATATTTTAATGTTTTAAATATTAAATCATTATCAGTAAAATAAATGTAAATATAATTTGGTTCTTACATGTGACCTAATTCGTGAGCACCAGATAAAAGGTATTTATATTCATTTTCATCGGTAATCACTCCAGAAGACATGTACCTTCCACGAGAATTTCCCTGATTCTCAAAATAGCATGGTGATCCAATATAAGCATAACCTAATAAAAAATTGTTATATAGTTTGAATAAAAATTTATATTGCACACCCAGAAAAATAGTATTTTCAATTTAAAAAAATATATATACATATGGGTCAGTCCATTGACTTTCGTCTAAAAGTGGTTGCGAACGTAAAAAATCTACACTGAGAAAAATAATTTCGTAATAATAAGAAAATAATTTAGTTGAGCATTTTTAGTTGGCGTTACTAAAATACGGTTGTCACAACAGAATAGAAAGTTTGGTTTCCAGTACTAAATCGCTAACATGTTGAATTGCGCACGCGCTGTTCTCGTAAATAAGGCGTCGCTTCCCATTCACGGGGTGCCAACATTAACCATACGTCGTTCGCGTCATGAAGTTTCAGTGTTAAAGTTTTATTTGTTTTTCAGACATTTTTTAAAAAAAAAGTTTGTGTAGTGAGAATAAATAAATAAAAGAACGAAAGTTTTTTTCCAGCCTTTATACATTGTGAAAATGATTTAATCTCAAATTGTTAGTAGGATTCGTAGAGTAGTGGTTAGCGTTCTCGACTTGCGTTGCGTAGTCTGAGGGTTCGAGCCTCAGCAGTGTTAGGTTTTTACCGCGATAGAAATTAATTTAAGTAGGCATAGGTAGATTATATGAAGTGAAAAGGGTGAACCAAAAAACAAGTTGGTTAAGAAAACAAAAAAAAGTTTCATTTAACCAAATTTTTTGATTGCTTAAAAACAATAATTTAGTTGTGCGAAACAAAAAATTTGGTAGACCGAACAAAATGATTCATCAAAAAAATTTAGTTCTGACAAACAAACGGCCTAGTTGCATATATATTAAATAAAAAATTTGGTAGCGAGAACCAAACTTTGGTAGACGGTACTAAACATTTTTCTCAGTGTAGTTTTAATATATGTGAAACTCGATGATTCTCTGAGTTCATTTACCATAAAATAATGGTAAAACTTTTTTTATCTTTAAAAATATTAATTATCAAAAGTAGAAGGTTCACGATGTGATTTCGTAACCTTAAATTTTTCAATTTTTTTAAAAATGCTATTATTAAAAAAATATTAAAAATTATAGATGTTGGAACTTACCAAAAACATAAATCACTTTGTTTTGCACACAGGAACAAAAGAATTTTTTACAAAATCAAATTTTTTTAAAATGATATATATGATTTTGAAAAAAATTTTCCTGAAAAAATTTCAAAATTTCTTTTTACTTATAACGTTTTTTGTCGCTGCTCTGAAAAATTTGAGGTTTTACACTCATAGATTTTTAATAATATTCTTTATCTTCTATCAAAATTTCATAAAGGTGTTTTGCTTCGTTTTGTAAATATTATATTTTTAAAATTTTTACTAAAAAATGTTCATTAAAATGTTTGAAATTAAACACTGACCAATTTCAAATCGCTCCTTTTTTATATATTTTATAGAAAATCAAGCAGTTTGAAATTGGTTAGTTAACTTAAAATCTTTTAATTAACTTTTTCAAATCAAAAATTTTGAAAATTAATAATATCTCCAAAACGAAGCCGAACATCTTCATGAGATTTTAATAGAAAGTAAAAAAAATTAATGAAAAACTATGTGCAAAACCTCAATTTTTTCAGAGTATTGAAAAAAAATTTAGAAAGAAAAAGAAGATTTGAAATTTTTTCAAGAAAATTTTTTTCAAAATCATACACTGAAAAAAGGGTTTGGTATTGACAACCAAACGTTTGGTTGGTATTTAAGCAACCAAATTTTTTTTTGTTGTATCAACAAAATTTTAATTGTCTCAACCAAAATTTGTTTGACACAACCAAAATTAGAAAAAAATGATTTTTGTTGTCGTAACTAAAGTTTAATTGGGACAACCAAAATTTTGTTGCTTAAATACCAACCAAACGTTTGGTTGTCAATACCAAACCTTTTTGTCAGTGTATATAATCCAACAATAATAAATTTTTGTAATAATTCTTTCGTTCCTGTGTGCAAAATAAAGTGATTTATGTTTTTGGTCAGTTCCAACATATCTATAATTTTTAATATTTTTTTAATAATAGCATTTTCAAAAAAAATTGAAAAATTTAAGGTTATGAAATCACATCGTGAACCTCCTACTTTTAATAATTAATATTTTTAAAGGGAATAAAATTTTTACCAGAACATTATGGTTAATGTACTCAGAGAATCATTTAGTTTCAAATTAAAATTATCTTATTCTCTTAATAATTTTTATTCAAAAATTCTGAAAATTTTTTATTCTAATTAAAAAAAATTAATCTGTTAAAATTAATCTCTTAATCCAATTTTATAAAAAAAGTGGACACCCTTAAAAAGTCGAATTAGAAATTGACACCTTAAAATATACCTGTTGCTTTTCTATTTTCATTCATCGTATACAATAGTTTTCCACTCATATACATAGATATATCGAAATCCTTCTTTGGTTGAATGTTGAACGTGTTTTTATACAAAAATTTAGCAAATTCTTGTAATAATAACTCCGCATTATACAATCCGTTGGAAAGTAAAGTTTTGTGGACAAACGGCAGTGTATTCTTTAACATACAAATGTTTTTAATAAATTTTAGGAAGTTCTTTATTATATTACTTAAAACGAATTCTTTTTTATGTTTAAATCAATTAAATTTTATTTAAACAAATAATTATTATATTTAAAATGAATAACATTTAAATAACACAAATTTATTAATTATATTTGATAAAAATAAATATTTATGATGTAATTGATTAATTCAAATAAATTTTTATATATGTACGATGTACCATTCCATGAGTTTCTTTTATCACTTTTCGGAGAAACCTTTCCAAATTAAATGAAACATTTTTTTCATAGTATTTATTAATATAAAGATCCAAATTAATCTTTTTTTAAATAAAAACAATTGTTTATTTAAAAACTACAACAATAAATAATGAAAAAAAATCACTTTTTTTCTGCACCACCAAATAAATTGGTTTAAAGATAAAAATTTTCCTTATTTTTCAAGCTTTCATACCGCACAAGAAAAATTTCATGATTCGAAATAGTTAACTTACAATTTATTAAACAATGTTTGTTTACTTTTTTGTATTTTATTTAGTGTGAAACGTCTGCTAACGCTGTGCGCTACGTTCGGAAGTTGTCGCTCTCGTTATTGAGCAGAAGCTCATTACACTAGCGTATTACAAAACATGTGTGAAAAAATTTTGAGTTAACTATTTCGAATCATGACATTTTTCTTGTACGATATGAAAGCTTAAAAAATAAGGAAAATTTTGATCTGTAAACCAATTTATTTGGTGGTGCAGAAAAGAAGTGAATTTTTTTTATTATTTATTGTTGTATTTTTTAAATAAACAATTGTTTTTACTTAAAAAGTGATTATTTTGGACCATTATATTAATAAATATTATGTAAAAAATGTTTCATTTAATTTAGAAAGTTTACTCCGAAAAGTGATGAAAAAACTCATGGAATGGCATATATATTTGCCCTACATTGAAATGAACATAACCTCAAAATTTATGTCATTTTTGGTGTAAAATACGGAGAGAAGGTAAAGAAGAAGGGTGGGACATGCAGCTATATTAATATGGGTCATTCCATATCAAGTGCAAGGAAAAAATATTTCGCGAAACTTTCGTAAACTAGTTTTTCACTTTTAAACGGTCCCAAAGTTTGGAAATCTTTCATTAACTTTTTCCAAGATTTCACGAACGTTCATCACTCTCTTCATAACAATCAATGTCTGCGCACGCGCACAAAAAAAAGTTCGTGAAATCTTGAAAAAAGTTAATGAAAGATTTCCAAACTTTGGGCCCGTCCAAAAGTGAACTACTAGTTTACGAAAGTTTCACAAACTATTTTTTTCCGTGTGTAACCAAGTATTGTACTATCCATTTCAAAAAGATGGGTTGGGTACACTTGACATGGAATGACCCATCCTTGTCAAAATTTCTGAAACAGCGGCGGCTGCGGCGAAATCTTTTTATAATATAGAAATATATATATACAACATACCTTAATTAATACTATTCCGGCAATATAGAGGCGAATCTTTGGCTTTTGAAATTGTCTGTATCTTAAATCAACTCCATTCCAGTAACTTAAAGTATATTCTACCGCTTTCTGCACATTATAATTATGTTTTCTGCAATTACAAAAAAATGGATTAATAAATATAATTAATTACACAAGAATTTTTTTAGATTTCGGAGTGGTTTCAAGTGTATTTTTGTATGCTAAACACGATTCCGAATTACAAAATTGTGTATCACGTCAGGATTTTGAGTATAAACCGTGCTTTTGAGGGTTTTCAGTATTTTTTTTCTTCTTAACCCGACGTGCTAGAAAATTCTATGTAGGGCTTTACCCTCATTTTTTCAAAATACAAATTTTTTTTATCTTGCGTATATGGGTCTTAAAGTGTATGATGCTTATATATAGAAGTTTCTAGCACGTCCAGTTAAGGAGAAAGAAAATACTGAATTTTAGGCTTCTTCACAAAATATAAACTTGAATCATTTAGTATTTTACAAGAAAAGTGGTCAAAAAATTAATATTATGTGTTAAGATTATTGAAAAACTGACTGAATTTGATAAAAACATAAACTTTTAAAGTATCTTTTGATATAAAAATCATCTATGTATATATAATTTTTTAAATTGTGTACTTTAAGGGATAAACAAGAAAATAAATAGTACTTACTTGAAAAGTATTTCGTCAACATAAACCAAAATTTCTGGATAGACTATATTTGGTGCTTTTGATACATCCCTTCGGTTCACACTCTTAATTTTCATAAATTTATCATCGAACACGTTAGGAGAAGAATGTGCTAAAAAAAATCGATAAATATTGTAAATAATAATAAGAATAATACTATCCACAAATTTTTAGGATATTACATATTAATATTCAAATTAAAAATATACGTCTTTAAGCGTACGTAGGAACCTCCCACGTGACCTAGTATGGGAAAATGTGTTTTGGTAGTATACATCTTACTCTAAAATGAAAAAAGATTTTTGCCTACAATTTTGAGGAATGGTAGATTAGGGTACAAGGAATCTCGTTGTTCTCCGAAAAATACATAATTTTGCGTTAAATTATTAAAAAATGAAGTTTAAAAAGTGGCATTTTTAAACGAATTTGAAAACAAACATGGCGGCGCATACACAGACATTGCTTGAGTACTGCTTTATTTTTATTAGTTTTGCGTTAAGTTATGGTAAATAAGTAGAACAGCGAGATTCTTTGTACCAAACAAAATCATTTCTCCAAAATTTTAAGCCGAATTCATTTTTCATTTCAGAGAAAGTTTGAAATCACAAAAAAACGTTCTTTGCCCACATACCCTTACATCAATTGTTTTATATAAAGAAAATACTTACGGCTAGAATCATTAAAAGATTTTTCATAAATTATATGATCATCAGTATTTATGAAACCTTCAGCATCAGTTTCAAAAAATGATGAATTTCTATTCAACAGATCGCGACGTTGGCGAATATGATTGGGCATGGGACGTAAAATTATGTTCTTGATGTTTCCAGTCTGAAAAAGGAAAATTTATTTTTAATTTCTTTTTTAGATATAGTGTTTAAGCTCAAGTTATAAGCCTTATATTTTTTTTAATCCTTGCATTTTTACTAGAAACGAAAATTTTTGTTATCTCTTTGTTGCTTTAGAATAGAGAAAACTTGTTCAACAGGAGTGTGAGTATATACTTACAAATTTGGTTTTGCCATTTTTATGGAAACTCTGTGTAACTGATGAATGAGTACGTCGATTTTGATAAAATTTTAAATATAATTTATCCGTCGCCTGAAATCATATTGCGATTATTGCGATCCTAGTTTTCAAATGCAAGTATATATATATACCCAGATAACCAGCGTACTAGTACGATGCAAGTACAGTATGAGTACGGCGTACTAGTACTGTACCAGCCATCTACCTCCATACGGTACCAGGTACTGTACTGGTACAATACTAGTACGATAAAAGTATGGCGTACTGAAAGTCTTTTGTGAATTAGTATAACGTATCGTTATTGTACTGGTACAATACTGGTATGCTGTATAAAGTAAAAATTCTATACCCCCTCCCTCTCTCCTTCTACAATAGTATTTTAATTATTTTAATTTATTATTAAAAAGGAAAATCTTTGGGAGGACTGAAATAATAATAATTCATTTTTATTCAATAATTTTTTTTATTTATATGATATATGTCTGTGCATATATTATATAAAATATGTAACTTGTATTTTCACTTATCTTAGAATATCTCATGTTTTATATTATTCTAATTAATTAACTTTATTAAGTATTAATTGACTGCTTGCTTGTATTTAAACATTATTTCAAAAGAATTTTAAACTTTATGTTTCAAATTGTTTTGATGTTGGGTGAAACATATTATCACATCCTAACCTATAAATATGTTATATGTATAAGAAAAACTATAGCGAAGTAACACAATTCAATTCAATTTATATTAATATCATCAAGATTAAGTTTACGAATTTTTTTCAATATAAATGTATAAAAAAGTTTATAAAAGAAAAGATTTAGATTTTTTTCAATGAAAGAACACCGTGGCACAAAGCGTCATGTCAAAGCAAAACAACATAAGTCTTATAAAAATCGATAATTTAATATAAATTTAATCACGGATATTCAAGATAAGTACAGAATCACAAGTTACAAACGTTAAAACTTTTTTGCTGCATCATAAACCACTTTTTTCACCAACATTTATTGCACCGTTTTCAGTGACGCGTTCATATTTGACAATTGTCAAGAAAGTGAGGTTGGGTTGGCATTATCAGCAAAGATTCCCAGTACGACGTACCAGTATTATACTTGTATCGTACGAGTATGTTGTGCTTCTTATTTCAGAAGTACGACGTACTGGCATTGTACTAGTACTATACTTTTATCGAGTACTCACATTTTATAATTCTAACAGTACGACATACTTTTATTATACTAGAACTGCACTGGTACGTACATACATAATTATTTTGTACTGGTATGAAACTAGTATAATACCAGTACTCCGTACTCGTAAATAACGTTTAGTACGCTTGGCTATCTGGGTATATATATTGACCCAGATAACCAAGCGTACTAATCGTTATTTACGAGTACGCAGTACCAGTATTATACTGGTTTTATACCAGTACAAAATAATTATATATGTCGTACCAGTACGGTACTAGTACAGTAAAAGTATGTCGTACTGTTAGAGTTATAAAATATGATTACTCGATAAAAGTATAGTACTAGTACAATACCAGTATGTCGTATACTTCTGAAATAAGAAGCACAACATACTCGTACGATACAAGTATAATACTGGTACGTCGTACTGGGAATCTTTGCTGGTAATGCCAACCCAACCTCACTTTTTTGACAATTGTCAAATATTGTCAAATATGAACGCGTCACTGAAAACGGTGCAATAAATGTTGGTGAAAAAAGTGGTTTATGATGCAGTAAAAGAGTTTTAACGTTTGTAACTTGTGATTCTGTACTTATCTTGAATATCCGTGATTAAATTTATATTAAATTATCGATCTTTATAAGATTCATATTCTTTTACTTTGACATGCCGCTTTGTGCCATGCACGGAAAAAAATAGTTCGTGAAACTTTCGTAAACTAGTTGTTCATTTTTGGACGGGCCCAAAGTTTGAAAATCTTTCATTAACTTTTTTCAAGATTTCACAAACAAAAGACAAAAAAAAATTCTAACCACTTTGTGAAATAAAGACACTTTGACGGTGTCTCTCTTCATGACAATCAATTTCTGCGCACGCGCACAAAAAAAGTTTGTGGAATCTTGAAAAAAGTTATGGCGCACTCACACCTTTTTGGCTGCCTGTCTGCCTGCAGGTTACCATGGCAACGCACAAGTGTGAGTGAGACAGAAAATTTGAATATTCAAATTTTTACATTTTCTGTCGCACTCGCTCCCATGCGTTGCCATGGTAACCTGCAGGCAGCCAAAAAGGTGTGAGTGCGTCTTTAATGAAAGATTTCCAAACTTTGGGCCCGTCCAAAAGTGAAAAACTAGTTTACGAAAGTTTCGCGAACTATTTTTTTCCGTGTGATGTTATTTCATTGAAAAACATCAAAATCTTTTCTTTTATAATCTTTTTTATACATTTATATTGAGAAAAATTCATAAATTCGGTCTTGATCATATTGATATATTTTTAAATTCAATTGTATGTTATTTCGTTATAGTTTTTCTTATACATATAACATATTTATAGGTTAGGATGTGATAATATGTTTTTCTTAACATCAAATCAAATTTAAACATCAAGTTTAAAATTCTTTTGAAATAATGTTTAAATGTAAACAAATAATCAATTAATATAATTGATAAAGTTAAGTAATTAAAATAATATAAAACAGCGGATATTTTAAGATAAGTGAGAATGCAAGTTACATATTTATATAATATATATGCAAAGACATATATCATATAAATAAAAAAAAAAGTATTGAATAAAAATAAATAACTAAAAATGAATTATTATTATTTCAGTTCTCCCACAGATTTCATGAAAAAATATCTTGCGTGATAAACGATTTTTACATGAAATAGTGTTATGTGAAAAAAGCAACAGTGGCTCATGTGAATATAGTATGATTTTTCTCTCCGTGTATAGTACTCGTATTCTACCGATATTGCATACCGGTACGCCGTACTAGTACAGTACCTGCTACCGTGCGAAGGTACACGGCTGGTACAGTACAGTACTGCCGTCCAAAGTAAAATTATACGTCTGTGCATTTGAAATATGCAGCACGGACGTAGCTTTTCACTTTGGACGGCAGAGTACGCCGTACTTGTATTATACTACTACCGTACTAGTATGTGTGTTATCTGGGTATATATATATATATATATATACTAGGGGGCTACGCCCCCTGCGCGCTTCGCGCGCCAATCCCCATCCCCTCTCCTCTCTTCCCCCCACCCCAAATTTAAAGGTTAAGATCGTTTCAAGACTCTGAATATAGCCGCAAGTCCCCCCTCCCTTCTCTCCTATCCCCCTTCTCTTGACTTGCGGCTATATTCAGAGTCTTGGAACAGCGGCGGCGTTGGCGGCGATATCTTTTTGTAATATAGGTAGATATATGTATAAAATACGTACTACTCGTCTAAGATGTATTCTGTTCTTTATATTCTCGGCAGTATAAACTTTCGTTTTTGTTCCTGCTAATAAACTATCAGTAGGATACAAATAAAATTGAACCATTTGACGTCTTTTCTGCATTTGAATTGTTAATCTGTTGTTCGCTTGTCTTTTGTAACGAATTGGCACCACCTCGTAGTCTGATAATTTAGATAGTTCAATTGAAATTTGAATATGTTAATATAATGCAGCAAAAATAGCAATAATGAGTTTTTAAAAACAAATGACATGACTCTATTTAGAAATTTAATTTTTTTTCAATTATTTTATATTTAGGTATGCTTATATTTTTCTCAAATATATACATATATGGGTGTTTCTCCGCGTAGAGCACAATTTAATGTTCCTCGTATTTTTTAAGAAATAAGTTGCACATCGACGCCTCCCGACGATAAAGTGTTAATTCAAACTCCAATGCAATGAAGTGTTAACTCAATGTGCTATATAATTTCTGTTCTTTCGTTTGTGCAATATAATTATGAATTCTTGAGCGCACTAACTCTGAAGATTATAATTTAATTTTCGTTAAATTATAAAAACAAATTTTAAAAATAACAATAACTAAATTTTACGCTACGCAGAAAATCACCCATATATATATATATATATATATATATATAATATTTTTTTATATTGAAAGATAAAATAAAATTATTTAAATTCAAATAATTACCATCATCGACATTGAACGATTGAGTCAAGGACACAGAAAGAATGCCGAATAATAGAATGAAATAATACATCTGCAAATGTAAAATTTTTAATTATTAAATAAATTAAAATTTTAATAAAAAATACTTTGGTTTTTCACATATTGTGCATGTATATAAATAATATTTGACGCACAAAGAGAAGATATCTTAGAGGAATCTTAGAGGCAAAAAATTGTAGGTTATGTTTAGTGATAGTAGGGGAGGATGGGGCAAGGATAGTTAAGGGGTAAGGATAGTTAGTTGCTGTTATGTTTAGACGGCTTGCTCAAAATTCGCGTCATTCATGGTATATTTGCGTCTTAACACCAATAGATGATAGTAAAAATTGAAACTCAATCTGCCACCATTTGCGAAGTCAGGAGTTTATTTTTGTAAAAAGTCTGTTTTGCTAAAATGTCAACGTAGTGTTTATCATACTGTTTTCTATATTAGTGTTTCCGAATATTTATTTTCGTAAGTGTTTTCCGGAGTGAAATTTCCTGCTGAACACAAATATCGTATTTATTTTCAAATTAATTAACGTCGTTCCTTAAAATTTAGAAAAAACTGAAATATGGGCTCATGGGGCAAGGATAGTTAGGGCTATTACGGCTCGATAAAATCCTGCTAATGCGACTGCAAATTATAAAAAAATGTTTAATTGTTTTTTTTATGTTGATATACATAATGGTACGTAATTATATACGAAAAAAGAAGCTTATTGACCAAGAAATTGGTGATCATCTGAAGAAAATTGGTTAAACCTCAGATTTTAGTTCAGACGAATTTTAATGCAATAATTGATATTCAGAAAATGTTCAAAACATGTTGTTAATACTTGATATATCAATATTAAATAGTCTAAATCCAATAAAATAAAGAAACCGAAAATTTACTGATTTTCTATGACAATTTTAGCATTTGGATTCTTTTAACTATCCTTGCCCCGGTACTGGGGCAAGGATAGTTGAAATTTTTTTTTTTACTTTTTCATTCGTATCTCGTAGGGATTGCACTCTACAGCAAAATAATGTATAGCAAAATTATAGCCAAATAACCAGGTTTTCTGAAGATACTATTCGATTGCTGATATATATTTAGGTTTGGCCGCTAGATTTGAAAAGGTCTTACCTAACTATCCTTGCCCCATCCTCCCCTATTCTCTTGAATGAACCTTCATTTTTAATTATGTGAAACTATAATACAATATTTGCATGTATTTTTAATCCAAAAATAATAAAATAATATTTATACCATAGGGGCATATTTGTAGTACTTTTGAGACAAGGAAAACATAATCTCTCAGATGCACTGTATAACTACGGAAGTCAAATAATTGTATCAAAAAGAAACTAGTGTGTTATAAAATTGACATAAAGAGACTAGCGTTTTATAAAAGTACTAAAAATGATTTGCAAATGCACCGTAGAGTTTACATCATCGTTTGCTGTGAAATGCCTCAAAAGTAAGACTTTATACACGTATTGTATAAAATATTCTAAAATAAAAATTATTGGGTCATTCCATTTTATTTCACCTATAGTCGTTGCGGTCTATTTTCAGAAAAATTTGGTATTTTGTATTAATGACTTTGAATATCCGTACAATTCATTTTTGACAATTATTTTATGAAATTTTTTTTTATTTACGTTGAAATTTAGTTTTTAAGTTGAGTTGCACGGAAAATAGGTTAGTTTGACAGTTTTGGAAATTTTATAAAAAAGAAAAGAAATAATTCAGTTAGTAAATTTTTTTTCATTGATATTTGTTGAAAATAGTCTAATTTACCAATGTTAATTGATAATTGTGTAAAAAAAGGTAAATACTACGTGAAAATTAATATTCAAACTTATACCTCTAAAATGTCAAAATTTGTCACATTTTATTTATATTTTCCAAGAAAGTTTATAAATATTATAAAATTCATTACTACCTAACAATAAGTACTTTCACATGATATGTTGGCTTTTTATTTTTATAATATAGAAATATGTGAAGTTTTACCTTGAATGTTGAACTTTTCAGGATTTTATCTGATTTTGAACACTTATATCTTCTTATATCAATGAAAAAAAATTTACTAACTGAATTATTTCTTTTCTTTTTTATAAAATTTCCAAAACTGTCAAACTAACCTATTTTCCGTGCAACTCAACTTAAAAACTAAATTTCAACGTAAATAAAAAAAAATTTCATAAAATAATTGTCAAAAATGAATTGTACGGATATTCAAAGTCATTAATACGAAATATCAAATTTTTCTAACAATAGACCGCAACGACTATAGGTGAAATAAAATGGAATGACCCTATTGTATTCACTAAAAACTGTCAATGGATATAATAGCCCCCGCACTGCAAAAAGAAGTATCTTATTTTAAGATGTTTTGGTCGCCTTTTTAAGATGTTTTTTACAACTTGCTTCTAAGTTATCAAAAACATCTTAAAATGCATTATAGTTTCTTAAGATATAAGATAGATAGGAAGATGCTTTTGGTAACTTGCTTCCAATGTGTCTTATAATAAGATACTTCTTTTTGCAGTGCGGGATGGTATAATTACCCCGGTTGACAGTAAATCTTTCTAAAATTTTAACATAGTTTATTAAAGTACACTGAGAAAAAAATGCTGTTGAATCAATGACACATGGATTTGATTCTATGAATAGTGTCATACCGGGCTGCCTAACGTATACGTCATTGTTTTGAAAGCACCGATTTTAATGATTCGATAGTGTCACTGTCATTGAAACATAAACATATTTCTTAAATTGACAGAAAACTATGTTAATGTAAAGGTATTTTTATTGAGTCAACAGAATATTCTTTTGAATCAAAGAAATAAGATTTCAAATTTAAAAGCATATGCTTTAAAATCCATAGTATATGCTTTTGAGTCAATGGAAAAAGTTTTTAAATTTAAAGCATATGCTATAGAATCTATAGCATATACTATAAACTCATTCCTCTTATGAGGTTAAATGAAAACAACGATAAATAAAAAAAACTAATCTAAGCTTACAAATTTTTTATATATTATAATTAGTTCTCATGTTCACACTTCTATATATTTATTTTTTTTTATTTCGCACTCTCACATATACAACACATCTATATATATTTAAATCGAAAGAATTTACTCTTTCATACACACACACTAACACACATATATATTTTTTTTTTGAAGCCTGAAAAAACTTAGTATTCTTTAGTGGTTACCCATCAAAGTACTAACCGCGATCAACGTTGCTTAACTTTCGTGATTGACTAGAACCACCGAAGTCCAACGTGAAACAGTAGCTTTATAGCGTTCAACGATTACTTTACAGTCAAATTTCGTCCTCAAGATTTTTTCATATTAAGTACACTGAGAGAAGTTTAACGCAACATCTGCATTTTTTGAGGGACAGATATTGTACCTCAATCATGTGCAGACGCAGTACTAAAATCGAACAGCAGCAGCGCCAATTGAGTACTGATTCTGACCTAACTTGTGGGACAAACGATTTAGTACAGTATCTGTCCACCAAAAAGCGCAGCTGCGATACAATTTAGAACCGATGTTGCTCGAAAGGTTAGGTACACTATCTGAACGTGTGTTTAGTACGAAATCTATGTTTAACTTTTCTCAGTGTAGATAAAAGAATATTATTATTATTAATATTAATATAATTTAATTGATAATTAAATATTTTTAAATTTTATGTTTCGAAAAATTATAAAATAGTAAAATAAATTTTTTTATAATTCTAAACATATTATATGGGTTTTTAAAATTTTTAACTTAATAAAAAAATAAAATTTTTATGAATTTAAAAATTTTTATTTATAAACTTTATATTATATATAAATAAAATTTTAGAAAAAGGGAAAAAAATCTTTTTCTAGTTACATTTAAAAATCTATTATACAGATTGCCCGAAATGACGCCATTTATTACAACAAAAGTACACGATTAATAAATTAAAAGTTTAGTTAATTGAAATAATATGTCATGGCATTATTTTGATGACAATAGTCCAAGAGCTTGCTTCTTTGAAGTAAACAATTTTTCGTATGATTCAAACTTATACACATTTTCTTCAAATTTACCTTTTAGATGCTTCAAATAAAAATTGTCAAAGAATTAATAAATTATTCTGTTGATATAAATAGATTAACTATAGCATCAACTTATACAATGGCATTAATTTTACATTACCATACTTTTGATTTAAATAGTTTCGTTTTTTTATTTTATGTAATATACTTTTCAATCAATAAAATTGTTATTGAATCAATAACGGGAAATTCAATAGCATTGAACTATTTGATTCAACAGTATTTTTTTCTCAGTGTACAAAAGGGTTCAGTAAATAAATTTATAATTTTATAAACAGTTTAGCAAAATGGAAGTAAAAGAATAAATTACATCTTACCTTTTCTGTGCAGTGTTGAAATTCACTGTTAAAACTTTGAATTTTGACTAATTTCATTTGACGGGCGATGTCCAAGTTAGCCCCGTGAGGGAAAGCACTATACCCGCGGGGGGCCTAAGCAGCGTTCTCGGGCCTAATGACATTTTCTATGAAAAATGGGCCCCTAATGAGTTTTTCATGAAAATTATAAAATTTTTTAATATTAACAATTTTTAATTTTTTTTAACATATTCACATTCCTCATAATTTCACGATCACAGAAAAAACTTGGACTCATTTTTGTTGCAACTCATTTTCTTTTGGGTATCGAAATGAGTATGGGACAAACTTCATGTTATTCAAAATGATATTGGCTGGAATTTCAGATTTCTAAGTTGGCATCATAAGCAGAGTAATTTTGTATTTCAATTATTGTTTCTAATATTTCAACAACACCAGAAAGATTATTTTGACCAGTACGAATATTTAGAAGTTTTTAAATAAAAATTATTTATTATTATTTACGTAAATAATAATTAATTTCATAAGTTTTTAAATTTACCGCTATTATTTAAGTTGGCAGTACCGTTCCTGTTGTCAAAACACATGTTTTCATAAATATTATTATAATTTTTCTAACCTAAAAACATATTTCCTTTATTATTTTATTACGCGATTACAAGCAATTTTTAATCAAATATATTAAGTCTAGCGTGTTATTTACTTCTTTGTAATTATTATATTTCATGTTTTTGTGCAAAATTATTCGTTATTTCACAATATTTTTCCATTTTTCTTTTTCTCAAAATGAAACTTGCCTGTTTCATTTTGATACTTTTACCTTAGAACTCGAAATGAGACAACCAGTTTCATTTTTGTTGCGAATCAAATTGAGTATAGAATCTATACTCAATTTGAATTCAGGTTTTTTCTGTGATTACGAGCATGTGTTGTCCCAATTAAAAATGTTAATATTTAAAATGTTTATAATTTTTATTGAATTATGTCGCCTGAATCCCCCAGTATCGATCTAGTCATGATACCGAATAACTTTTTTAATAAAAATTAAATCTTTTCAAATATCAACATTTTTACCGCTCATTTTTTTGCAATTCAGACATATTTTTTTTAAAAAAAAATGTTGAAATTTAAAAAGTTTTAATTATTTATTTAAAAATGTTCACAATCTTTGGAAACAATTCATGTTGAAATATGATAAATTTTCTCATTCCCACTATTTTGTAAAAAAATCTTGAAAAAACAAGCATTTACACAAGTTTCCCCCCTTAAACTTAAATGATAAAATTAATATTTATTAGATTAACCAACTTTTTCACTGGAACTATTTAATTTTATAAGTTTAATTATACTGATAGTATAGTGGAAGAATAAATACGTGTCAATATACAATGTTAAATATATGTATTTAAAAGTGATAAACTCTGGAAATTACGAAATGCTGTAACGCTAACCTTGTTGGATTGACGTTAGATACACATTATAAAGCAATTCACTATAAAAAAAGTGATTAATAGATAGAAAATGATGAAAAAAAATATTTTGGAAAGGGTAAATTGGAATCTGTAGAGTTCATTCTAACAAGAATTGCAATAAATAGAGCAGTAATTTAGCCAAAAAACTTTTTATTTTAAAAAATAAAACAAAACAAAAAAAAATTAATTAAATTTTTAAACAAATTATCATCAGGTATGCTCTAAAACTTTTTGCAAAATGTTCTTAGTATTTTCATGTATATAAAGTCGATAAAAAACGACAACAACTGTTTGTTAAAATAATTAGAAGTTATTGAAAAATTCAAACGGTGATGTCATTTCTAACCTCACACTTTCTAACAATTTATCAATGTTTTATCATAATTAGTTAATGAAATATCAACAATTTTGCAAGACAGTGCCCTTATGTTTCTAATATATTCTCATTCGAAAAGTTATTGCGTATGGTGATTATGACACGAAGTTCTATCCTTTTTGGTAATAAATGTCATTACACGGATGTACATAATATAATAAAACACTTTGCGTCCATATTTATCCCTGAAAAATAGAAAAATAATTTCTTTTATTATTTTTCAGTTTTTATTAGATTTTTCAATAAAAATTTTCAACTAGGAATAAAGTACCAGAGGGCAAAAAACATTAATGTTCTAGATACGTCCCTAAAACATTTTGGAAAGTTTTATGTTCTTAAAATATTTTTGGAACATAGAACATTCTTTATACAACAAAATTTTTTGAAACTCTACTAAACACTGAATTTGATAAAAATACTAATTATATATTTACTGAATATCATTACCTTCGCTTTTTTCTTTTATACTTTAAATTCACATCGTCCTGCTATACAGTACTGAAAAATAAAATTTAAACAATCAATAAATAAATACTGATGCACATATTTAGGCTTATATTTTCTAGAATAAAATAATGTTCCACATCTTCACTTCAGGAATTTTTAAACAAATTCGTCGTTTTTTTAAAAATATTGTAATTTGTTTAAGGGAAGTGAAAATATTTTTTTAACCAAATAACAATATTTAAAAAAACGGTGCATTGTTTATAAATCTCTGTGATGAAGAATTATTTTCTGAAGAAAATAAGCAGCGTGAGATACAGAAATACAGCTGATATTATTATAATAAATATATTTTAATGTTTTAAATATTAAATCATTATCAGTATTGTTTTTATACAAAAATTTAGCAAATTCTTGTAATAATAACTCCGCATTATACAATCCGTTGGAAAGTAAAGTTTTGTGGACAAACGGCAGTGTATTCTTTAACATACAAATGTTTTTAATAAATTTTAGGAAATTCTTTATTATATTACTTAAAACGAATTCTTTTTTATGTTTAAATCAATTAAATTTTATTTAAACAAATAATTATTATATTTAAAATGAATATCATTTAAATAACACAAATTTATTAATTATATTTGATGGAAATAAATATTTATGATGTAATTGATTAATTCAAATAAATTTTTATATATGTACATGTACCATTCCATGAGTTTTTTTTATCACCTCTCGGAGAAACCTTTCCAAATTAAATGAAACATTTTTTTATAATATTTATTAATATAAAGGTCCAAATTAATCACTTTTTAAGTAAAAACAATTGTTTATTTAAAAAATACAACAATAAATAATGAATTTATGAATTTGAATTTATTTTTGAAAATAAATAAAAACAATTATTTAATATTATTTTATTTAATATTAATTTATTAATTTTAATTTCATAAAACTACAGTTATAAAAAATATATATTTATATTCAAAATATAAATAACAATGATTATGTTTTGTTTTTAATATGGTTTCGTAGGAAAAGACAACTTGTTTAGACCCATACTGTCACGCATACGATCAAAAAGGACGTATGATAGACTTTACAGCTAACATACATCCAGCAGAGGGATCTTATTGTGGTCCTGGCAAGGTACATTTGAATTTTTAACAATTCGATTTTGTGTGTTTCTGTTCGAAAATAAGTGAACTCAACCCTAAATATGTGCATCAGTATTTATTTATTGATTGTTTAAATTTTATTTTTCAGTACTGTATAGCAGGACAATGTGAATTTAAAGTATAAAAGAAAAAAGCAAAGGTAATGATATTCAGTAAATATATAATTATTATTTTTATCAAAATCAGTGTTTAGTAGAGTTTCAAAAAATTTTGTTGTATAAAGAATGTTCTATGTTCCAAAAATATTTTAAGAACATAAAACATTCCAAACTCGTGCAGAAATTTCCCTACTTAGTTCTACATTAAGTAAGGCTCTCTCATGGCCCTTGCCAGTTTTTCCACAAGTCTGGCATTCCTTATAGCAACTCGGTCTTGCTATGGTTTTATGACATAACCTCAAAATAAAAAGTAATTTTTAACACCAAATAAAACTATAATAAAATTAAATTTCCATGCAAAATGTACAATGCAAATGTGTGTACAATTGTTAAAGTGTATTAAAGTTGCGGTATGTTTCTTGAGTTTAACCCGTAATTCGCGAGTTACAATATTAGAGAATCGAGAATGAAATGTTTTAAAAAAAGTAAAGGATCGCGGTAATGATCCTTTCTCGTCGACAAGTAGTTTTATTCTAATTTGTAAATTGTTAAGTTTGATGCAAAGGGAAGTTTAAAAAAATGGGAGGGAAGATCGAAGTCTTGATTTTTTTGCAAGGAAGGGAACAAAATTTCATGATTGGTTTCTTTGAGGAAAAACCCAAAAAGGCGGAGAAACTTAAATTCGGGTAACCTGGTTGGTTTTCCATAGGAACACCCAAAAAAAAATCATAGCGATCACTTATCTTAACAATAATAATGCTATTAGTTTAATCTGTCTAGACAACTGAAATTAGTCGTAAAGCTTATATTCTTTAATTTACAAAAATTTATCACAAAATCAATATTAGGTACTATTCCGTGAATACAAAATGTAATTGAAATTTATAGATAAATAATGAATATTTAATTATTTAAGGAAATAATCTTATCACTGGAAAATAATAAAGAATTCATTTCGGATCTCTCTCTCTCTCTCTCACTCTGTATATATACTACTAATTAGGGGCCATAAATAGAAAATGTCATTAGGCCCGAGGGGCAGTCATCGATTGCCGGGCCATAAACACGGAGCTCGAGGGACGCATGCACCGCGGGGGGCCTGAGCGACGTTCTCGGGCCTAATGACATTTTCTATTTATGGCCCTTAATGAGTTTTTCCAAAAAAATAAAAAAATTTTAAATATTAACAATTTTTAATTTTTTTTAACATATTCTTATTCCTCGTAATTTCACGATTACGAGCATATGTTGTTCGAATTAAAAATGTTAATATTTATAATGTTTATAATTTTTATTGAATTTTCTTAAGAGTACATTTAGTTCAGATTCATAACCGGCAAAACCCAAAGAACAGGCAATTCGCGAATTTCATGGTCTTCGGATTTTGCCGGTAAAAATATTGGCTTGCAAGTCAAGTATTTATCAAAAACCGATACAATATACACTGAGAAAAAAGGTTTGAGCTGACAACCAAATATTTCATTCAATATATGTGCAACTAAAA